AGAGAGAGAGAGAGAGAGAGAGAGAGAGAGAGAGAGAGAGAGAGAGAGAGAGAGAGAGAGAGATGTTATGATCCTGGCCAAATTCCAAGTACAATGCCGTCCAATTGCAAAAAGAAATGAATGAACTTGAGAGGAGAGAGAGGGAAAGAAGACGAAGAAGAAGAAGATGTACACCAGCAAAGACCAACGAGAATTCCCTTCTTCTTCGCAAACCACTCTCCTCCTCCTTATCTCCTCCCCTCTTATTCAAACAAGAAATAATAATAATAATGTTGAATGGCCGAACCAGAATCAATGTCCGAATCCCTCTTCTACTGCAGGCATCATATGAGGTCCACCATAGCCATGGCCACCCTTCGTCCTCCTTCCATGGCTGAGGCTATGGCGGACTGTGCAAAGGACAACACAAAGCAGCTATGGCTGCTTTAGCTCCGGCGGCCATGCCTGACTCTGCCTGGAAGCTTCTTGGTGTAGTTCTACCCCAACAGGGGCCTTCCAGATGCAGCGCCCACCAAGGTGATGAAGACAGCATCCACCATAGCCAGGTAAGTACCTCTGGCGCTCCTCCCTCCTAGTCCTGGTCTTCTTCCTCCTCCTGTCCTTGCTCCTCCCCAGCGGCGCTGCTCTGATGCTAGCGCTGCTCCAGCCAGCGCTCCAACCAGTGTGTCGCCAAACTTGCACACCGACAATGAGGAGGAGGACATCGCTCCTCCGGGAGATATAGCGGCCTGCTTGCCTCTTGGCAAGTGACTTTCTAGGCCGCGTGGCCTCCAAGCAACCGGTACCTCCTCCCTTTCGGAGGGAAACATCACTGCAGACTCTGATATTGCCCATACAGGCCCTCGACTCAGACTTGTTGGACTGGTACCCGCCTAGACCTAGCCTACAAGTACTGGGCCTCTAAAAATGCCAACTTTGTCTTGTTCTGCTCAGCCTCAAGTACCCAGCACATCTACCTCTACCTGGCGTAGTACCGGGCTACCTGCTACTTGAGTGTTTTTCTGCTGTCGCGGGCCTCCTTCCCCGCCACTTGAGTGTTTTCCCCCGCTGCAACCCTCAATGCCACGGCCACAGGTAAGTACCGGACCTTTGGACCTTTCACACAGATAGGTACCCTCGCGGGTCTGACACACCCAAACCGACAAGCATTCAGACAGGCACACAGACCAGCAAGCACGCACACACTCAGACTTAGGAAACTCAGCAAGGCATGCGTTCCATTGGCAAAACTCAGAAATCAGCTGTGTCTCAGTCCGTGTTTAGCAGGCCCTAACAGACGGCGCGTTCAACACGGCCATCCGTGCAATGCTGCAAGATTGATTCCCGCCTTTGACATTAGAACTGCGCGTTGGGCGGGGGGGGGGGGGGGGGGGGGGGGGGGGGGGGGGGGGGGGGGGAACGTGCACGCGCGCGCGAGAGAGAGAGAGAGTCGCCGCGTTGCACGAATCGCCTATGTATCCCCCACGGGGTCAAACTCGGATTGCGGTCGGGATCCCAACCGCCGGCCACGGCCCAAGCGGTCGGGCGCGGCCGAGAATTTGTCATATTTAAAAAGGAATAATAGACCAATGAAAATAAAAATATATGGGGTTGTAGGGTTTGAAAAGCCCTACAGCCCTATATTTTTTGTTTTGGATTTAGACTTTTTTTTATTTTATTTTAATGGAAAACGAAAAAACAAGTACTCTAATCAAAAGAAACGTAAAAAAAAGGGAATTTTTTTTTTCCATTTTTTTTCTGATTGCTGGTGGGATAAACATGGTGCACATGTTTCTTTGATTCTTTTCTTTACAACAGATGCAAAGATAAAAGGGAAAAAATCATGGCTACAATCCGGACGTCCGGATGGTCTGGATTCAGTCCGGACTCCAGACGTCCGGTCCGGAATGTCCGGATCTGCCAAAAAAAAAAAAGAAAAAGAAAAAAAAGGTCCAGGACCTTTCCCTACTGAGGAGCCAAGCCCCCAAAATTGTTTTGGGGGTTTTTCAGGCCCCTTTTTTTTGGGGGGGGGGAGGTCCAGACATGGTCTACCTCTATAATAATTTACTAGCTAAGCGCCCGCGGTGCGGGCGGTGCGGGCCATGCCTGCAGAAATAAGAAATGTTGTAGGCAACCTGACACGGACCATTCGCATAAAAACGAATCACCGGATAATAAAGAATAGCCTAGAAATGGTTACAAAGTATGAGTTTAATTCACGAATTAAAAAAGTGACAAATAGAAAGAAAAAAAAAAAAGCAGGAGAAAAGGCGAGTAGAGACAGAGACAGACAAAGACAGAGAGAAAGAAAGAAAAAAAAATATATATATATATTATATATCGTTAAACAGAACTGCTCGGTAAACCGTAGGCAGAGAGGGAGAAGAGGACAACAAATGAGGGGCTGTGACAAACTGTTTCGTCGGAGTTTCACCGACTC